CATCAACCACAAATTTCCAGCTGTTATGAGGTCTGTTTGAAATAACTTTCACCTGACCCCTTCTGTGAATGCTTAGACTGACATATTTTGGAAACAAGCCATTATTTTTGATGACGTGGCGGCATTTTTAAAAAGTCTCCGCTACTGAGCTTGCTCCACTCCTACAGAAGGTGGCAGCGAAATATCCCATGGACATTTCTCTATCTGTGCTGAGCTTCTTGGGATATTCTACCTGCAAGGTAGAGTATATTCAACTAGACCAAGGTGGCAAAGTCAAACTGTGGCTTTGGCAGATAGCTCTACCGATTTTTGCTGAGGCGGCTGAAAAGGTTTCGGCTTCCAGCTGTTCATCCTCTTTCTCTGCCAGAGGCTACAAGGCTTGTAACAGCAGCGGTAGAAATGAACAAGTGCCAGCTCCTGGCACAGCAGCTGATAGTCTGCCCTTCCTGGCCAGAGCTACTTAATAGATAGTCACAGCCTATCTGTCAGAAGTCCTAGTTTCATGGGAGGGAAAGGATTATGCCACGGGCACAGATCCGCCATAGGGAACAGAGTATTTCCAAAGTTTGATGGAACAGAGGTAGTTGAATTAGATCTTAAAAATAGGGATTTATCGTTATTCCTTTATTGTTTCTTGTTTACACTTGCCATTTCTTTCAGTTTTCTCATTCAGGAATGTTCTTATTTATTAGCATTCACAGTAGTTTTGGAGAAAGTCTTTAGCGCCTGGATTGTCTGCACAGTGGAAAAAATGCATTGTTTCTTCTACTCAGATGGACAGGTGAAATTCTGAAGAGAGATTTCACAGCCTGCGGTTGGAAACCAAGTGCTCCAGTGCAAGGCCTACAGGAGCTCAACTTACTCTGCTTGTCAGACGAAAGGCTGAAAGGTACCTTGATCACTGCGATTGGTACTTACACCCTGGAAAGATGTCTGATAGCAAGATGTCAGCCTTCCTGACAGTGGTATAATGAGATCTAGTGTTGAGAAATGGGAGTTACAGAAATTCAGTTCTGAAATAAGATACAAGTTCCTACTTTAGAAAGTAATTAAGCATTATGTCAACAGCAAACTCATAATTTCTTGGACATTTTAAAATGCAGTTAGATATCTTTTTCAGAAAAGGTGCATTCCATATCGTATTTATGAGAAATCCTATGGACAGGATAGTTACACTAGCTGGTTATGGTAGTCCTATCTGCCCTGGAACCCATGATTCCTTACCCGGCAGCTGTTTGATTTATTACTTAATTTCTTCAATATTCAAACATGGAGTTTAGTCACTGCAATATTTAGCACTTGCTTGTTAGAAGTATGCGTAAGATGTTGTGTAATAGGTTGTATAGTTCAATAAGATTTGATGCAATGTGTATTTTTTGTAGTGTTTATATTTGCAAGATGCAGACTGTAATGTATTAGCTGACACTAACACTGCTGCCATGTTAGTATTTGTACTACATTTACAGCTACAGAAATTATTATCTGCCCTCCGTCTAGTGCATGGTTTCTCAGCAGTTCCTAAGACTTCAGATGTGGGCCTGAAAAACACCCATAAACTCAAATGATGAAGCATATACACATGCACTTCCTACAGCAGGTATTGTCAGATGCCTCCTTTAAGTTCTCAGTGTTACTAAAATGTTTATAAAAAATGAAATCATTATTTTTGTATATCAAAATAAAACAAAATGTTTACTTCAATGCTGAATTGTTTATTCATCATCCCCTTTCCCAGCTACCGAAGAAGTGTGGAATACAGATGACCTATACATCCCATCCCAGCCTAAAAAGCAGTACATAAGCCTTCAATGCCAAGAAGTTCAGAGACACTGATGCAGCACGTTGTATCTGGGCCTACCTTGCCCAAATGTGACTATCCCACATCGAAACAATAAACTGAGAAAAAAGGAAGTAGAACTGGAAGGTTCTACTGTTGTTTTTTCCTATGTGTATCAGAAGCTTCCAAAACAAGCCCCTAAACCCCACAAATGAACATTGAATCATTTCACCTTTTTATACATTTTTTTTAACATGCAGGCTCTGCAGCGTGGCGTCTCTCAATAACTCTCCTCCAGGACAGCTTAACTCATACTACGTTCACCTTGAATTCAGCTTTACAAGTGAGGTGATTTATGCAACAGCAGTTCAAGCAACCTATCTGGATCGGACAGTGAGTCAAAAGATCAACAATTATGACCCAAAGATACCTCCAGCCACCAGATTTTTCTTCCAGGTTATACTCCATGCCTCCAAAATTGACTCATTTTACTCATCATCCCAGGTCTACAAGAACTTTGTATTCCCTAAACTTCCCTGCCACTCACTGTGCTTGATTTCAAGCAAAGAAACTGCACAAGCATCGCTTAACCTGTGGATGATTCATCCAAACAGAACAGACAAAACACAAAGGCAGGCAGTTAAATGAACTGTCTTTTATGAACCTACGTATGATGTATATATATCATATGACATTTCATCTGAAATTTTCCCAATGTGTCTCCAAGATCCTTCAGTATCATTAAGGGCAGATTTCAAAATCTTTCATTTTAATCTATTAAAAGTGAATGCTAATACAATATTCTGATGTGTGATAATAACTACTCTTGACAACATTTCTTTTCATATTAAAGTGTAACTGCATGAGAAGTTTGGGTGAGAGCAAACTAAGAATATGACTGCATTGTAATATGAAAAGCTATATAACTGGGAGCTGTTTTTAATATATATTCAGAATTGCATCATATTTTTTATTTAAATTATTATTATAAATAAAACATAAAGGCAACACTATGGCATGGCCAGTTAGAATGCCCCTTAGAATAACCCTTTGTAAGACAAGTTATAATGTTCAGCAACCAACATGCACAAAATACCCAAGTGATGTTATTAAATGCAATTTACTCATATAATAGGAACATAATTACATAAACACCGGCTGACTGTTACTGATCCAAGAGCTATGACAGAGTTCAGCAAGTGTCCAGAGTGGTAAGGCTATTTTATCAGGCATGGATTTACCAAGGAATCCAAAGCTGGTTTTTGTCTCTCGTTAGCATGGCATCGCATCAGAGTCATATGATGTAGGCACGGCCAGGAAGCCTGTTTTCGTCTTCCCACTTAGGTTGCAGCCAACTCTGCCAGCGTTTTTAATAATGATTCTGAAGTAGCAAAGCTTTCAAGAATGGTATTTTTTTATGCATTCTTTATGTGCTTCTTTCAATGGAAAACATCCTGTGTGGACTATGTCACAAAGACATTATAATCAGGTTGCACAAATAGAGAACAAAATTTCTCATGGTGACACCAACTTAAAGAATCTTTATTATAGCCTACGTACACCGAAGAATATGGAAGGAAAAAGGAAGGTGCAATAGGGCAGAAAAACTTAGAAGGGGTTGAAAGCCAAAGAGGATAACGGGAAACAAAACTTATTTATATACTGCTAACTGTACGTGCATACACAGTGATTATAAATGCAGAGACATACCTGCATTAGCTTCACGTAGCTAGTTCAGATGACAAATGCCACAGGGATGCGCAGGTTTAACAGAGGCTTCCAGCCTAAATATATGTCCTCCCCTCCCCACAGGCTACCTTCTTGCGTGCCAAGTCACTCTGTCTTCATTGCCAGGGTCACCTGTCCTATCTGGATTACAGCAACAACGAATTTTCACCCCTCTCTCTATGTCTGTCTCCTTGCTACCTCACACTTCTTTGCTGTTGTTGAGAGAAGCGAGGGTTTATTTTG